GCTGAACCGTGACTTTTGTTCGGTTCTCCAACAGCAAGTCCTTGACGAAAGAGCGGTGCCCTGCTCGTGGCCACACCCCGTTACACACGGTCACGCCACAGCGCACAGCAGCACCTGGCAGACACCGACTGACAGCAGCTGACGTGGCCCCACGTAGTTATTAAACGAGCGAATACAAGGAAAGACGGTAAACCGACAGGAACACAGATGCTGTGTCTGTGAGAGCCAGGGGAGGGAGGACAACACGGGAACCACGGAGAGGCCTGCAGTCAGACGGCTTCTATTTCACCGTCCACCAAACGCACCACCTCGGAGGTTCCCACCCCCCCCAGACTCCTGAGATCCGGACAGTAACTCTCAGGCAAAACATTTCTCTGGAACTAAACACAGAGCTGAGCTATTTCAAAAGAGCCAGCATGAAAAGCAAGGCTGTCATCACTGGAGGCTGAGAGTGGTAGGGGTGCATCCCGTCACAGCCTGATCTCAACTCCCCCGTCTAGCTCCTCCCCGAATGTCAGGTGGGGCAGGTGTCTGCTGAGTGTAAATAATCAAACGCCAGCTTCATACTCTGTGTTTCTGCTTAGAGCACATTTCCTGTTCCTTCCTTCCTTTTAGAGAGATTTTTGTTATAGGGTATGCGCAGTCGCCGGAGAGACAGAGAAACAGAAAGCAAAAAATCACCCCCAGAAGCATGGCTATGCCACAATCCCTTCTCCTCCAGTCTCCTCTTGGGATTTTGGGCACGCACACACACGCATCCAGTGTGAGTTTTAAGCCACTGAGTGCAGGACTGGAAGCGTGATCAACTACATGGGAGTCCAGCGACATAGCAATTACGCCACCTGCTGGTCCCCCGTTTTTTCCTCTTTCCTACTAACTAAAGAAAAAGTGGAGATGCTTCTAAAATGAGAATTCTTTAAGGAGGGAAACAGGACAGACTGTAAAGTTCCCATCATGACTAACGGTGTCAATCTCAGAAGATTCCCTTACAGGTAACTTACGTGGGGAAGAAATGCCAGCAAAAAGACCAGAACAGTCAAGAGCGAATGCTTCTATTTTGGAATTAGACCGCTTGATCATTAATAGCGGGAAATCTAAGATTCTGAAACAACTGGAAAGAAAATAGTGTCATCTGAAGAACAAATACTGATTTCTAATGCCTATCTTCATAGTTTTCCATAAAGGAACGTGTAAGCTTTACTCTACCGGCTCCAGGAAGCAGACCCGACCTCCGAGTGAGGCCCTGCGAGTCATTTCACAGCTGCACGCAGAACCGAAGTCCCTGGATACAGCCAGTTCAAAAATAAAGTATCTTAACTTGTCTTAGTTTTGTAAGACAACTCCTATCTGAAGTACTTACCGGAATGTAATAGATGCCCATCTTGGGGGTTTCATTGGCAGTAAAAAGCATTCCTAAAAATAAGCACAATGAAGAAGGTAAACATGTGGGGAAGAAACATAATCTGTTTGTTTCACCTTTTGAAAGGCTTGGGGTGCTCAGTTTAGCTCCCAGCAGACGGAGCCAGGGCCGGGCTTCTGGCACCAGCTCCCAACACAGGGATCTGGAGTCTGAGAGAGGCCCCCTTTCCATCTGCGAAGGCTCACTTACTCCAGCCAAGGGTGCAGTTCCCACCACGAGGTGCTCAGAGCTACTTAAGGTCACCACCATTTCTAGGGGCAATGTGTTTTAAGCTTTGGACAGACACACAGAATGTCGTTTGGGGCACTATTTATAAGAATAATAATGACGAAGTTAAGAAGAAAGGCTTCCTGTTGTTAATCAGGAATCCAAAACCCAAGGTAAAACATTTTCTAAAAAATGCCACAGGAAATTCCTCATTTCTGCATTACGGTCCGACCTGACTGAAATGCAAAACTGAGTGGGAGGAATGCCACACAGCCTCACCAGAGAGACTGCTGGGAGTCTAGGAGCCCTGCCCCTCTGCGGTCATGAACCTGCTGAGCCTACAGGGCAGCACAGCACCTGGCCTTGGGGCAGCAGCCCGAGACGCAAAGCCGACAGAAGGGGACAGCACTCAGCAAAGGCCTCCCTATGACCTGAGCGGCAACCGATAAGCTCATTAGATGGCGCTGTTCTGTTCTTTTCTCTGCCCCCTTTGTAACGAACTCCACCCCAGAGTGACCCGAGGCAGCTCCGACCTGGCCCTAGGACTGCCAGGCCTCTTCGCAGCCTCTGGTCCACACTGCTGCTGTCACCACACTGACGTCAGCACACAGCTGCCCAGTCCTGAGCGACTGTGCATTTCACGTATATTCTCAGTGGGCACACAGTAACTTTATACAACGAGAACCAGCAGACGGTGTGATGGTCACGTGGCTGGACTCCCACGTGCCAACCACGATTCAAATCCCAGACCCGGTGGCTTGAAATTCACTGGGCATGTGTGCGTGCGTGCCCAAGGTCCCAGGAGGAGAATGGAGAAGAAGGGGCTGCGGTGTTACTCCAGCCAAGGGTGCAGTTCCCACCACGAGGTGCTCAGAGCTACTTAAGGTCACCACCATTTCTAGGGGCAATGTGTTTTAAGCTTTGGACAGACACACAGAATGTCGTTTGGGGCACTATTTATAAGAATAATAATGACGAAGTTAAGAAGAAAGGCTTCCTGTTGTTAATCAGGAATCCAAAACCCAAGGTAAAACATTTTCTAAAAAATGCCACAGGAAATTCCTCATTTCTGCATTACGGTCCGACCTGACTGAAATGCAAAACTGAGTGGGAGGAATGCCACACAGCCTCACCAGAGAGACTGCTGGGAGTCTAGGAGCCCTGCCCCTCTGCGGTCATGAACCTGCTGAGCCTACAGGGCAGCACAGCACCTGGCCTTGGGGCAGCAGCCCGAGACGCAAAGCCGACAGAAGGGGACAGCACTCAGCAAAGGCCTCCCTATGACCTGAGCGGCAACCGATAAGCTCATTAGATGGCGCTGTTCTGTTCTTTTCTCTGCCCCCTTTGTAACGAACTCCACCCCAGAGTGACCCGAGGCAGCTCCGACCTCGCCCTAGGACTGCCAGGCCTCTTCGCAGCCTTTGGTCCACACTGCTGCTGTCACCACACTGACGTCAGCACACAGCTGCCCAGTCCTGAGCGACTGTGCATTTCACGTATATTCTCAGTGGGCACACAGTAACTTTATACAACGAGAACCAGCAGACGGTGTGATGGTCACGTGGCTGGACTCCCACGTGCCAACCACGATTCAAATCCCAGACCCGGTGGCTTGAAATTCACTGGGCATGTGTGCGTGCGTGCCCAAGGTCCCAGGAGGAGAATGGAGAAGAAGGGGCTGCGGTGTGGCCATCCCCGCTGGGGGGTGATTTCTCGTGTTCCCTCTCACTGTGTCTGTCTCCCCCTACCCCCATACTCCCCAGAAACCATGCCATAAAGTAAAACCCTCTTAAAAAAAAAAAAGTGCTGTCACCGCCCTGTTCTACTTAACAGGAAAAACTCAAAGCGACTGAGATCCTGTCATGAGTGGCAAAAGGTTAAAGCCAAAATCCAAACACAAGGCTTCTTGTTTACACAGCAACCAAATTAGGTTCATTTTAAAAACCCAGTTGTAAAGTACAACAGAAGATCTCCCAGAAGAGAGACACAGATGATCGGAACACAGAATCCTAATCAAATATTCCAAATGCTTGGGACAACGTGATTCCGTGCTTTAAATTTATTTCCCAGTCGTTCCTTTTTTGAATACAAAAGCTTGTAAAAGTGCTGATATTTCACACTGTTACCAAAATGAGATGCTCAGTGGACAAAGGCAAACCCAGTCAGAGAGAAAGCAGGGACTGGGGGTCTCGCAGCGGGTCCGCATCTTGCCGGTAACTCACCGGCATGAGCCGGCCCTGAACCGGGTCCACGGGTCACCTAAAACACACGCACACCACAAAACCACCTTGAGGTCCTTAATAAAGTCTAGAATAGCCGGAAGGTGTGTCTAAATGTAACCAAACGAAAACCAGAGCCATTCTGCCACTTTCCAGCTTGTCACACCCGGCCCCCACCTGTTCATCTCAGCACTTTCTCTGGTCCTGGGGAAAGAACGTCCGTGGGGTCATGATCTAAAAGGAAAATGGCCTGTCCTGCCTGTGCTTCACAGAGCCCACTCACAGAACTGCCAAGCTCTCTGGAGGGGCCTGCAGACATGAGTCAAGAAGTTCTGGGGACAGAAATGATGTGGGGTTTTTATCTGTTTTTCTGGGGGGAGAGAGAGGTTTTTGCTATAGGGCTCATACACTCACCAGCAAGCAGAGACAGAGACAAAAAGCAGAAAACCATCCCTGGAGGGGATGGCCACATCACAATCCCCTCATTTCCATTCCATTCTCCTCTCAGGACATGGGGCACACACACACCCAGCATGAGTTTCAAGCCATTGGGTCCAGGACTCGAACCATAATCCACCATGTGGGAATCCAGAGACTTAACCACTATGCTATCAGCTGGCCCCCAGAAACAACATACTACAACCAAATGCAAAGTTCCTGCAAAGACACCCCTAAAGTCCATCTCCACTGGCTCAATCCTGAGCACTGACCATGAAACAGTGAACATTCCACAGACGACGCCACCGCCACCAAACCATACACTGCAAGGGCTCTAATCCAATTACAGAAGAGAATCCAGCCGGACCCACCATGGCGTAGGATCTCAGTGGCCATGCAAGGCCAAACTGACCTTCTACCAAACTAAGGTGGGGCGGCCAGGACGGAAAGTGTTTAGGATGAGAAATGTAAGCAACTTCACAAAGCCCACAGCATTAGAAGTTTCTAAGAGGCAGAAACAGTGAAAGGAAGCCTCAGAAGTTAAGATGAGCAAATCAAGAGAAGAATGTGAGCATGATGCCAAGGACCTCACCCGCTCAAGAAGTGAAAAGCTTTGCTCAAGGTCACCAGGAACCAGTAAGTAAAGCAGCTGAGTTTCTGCTCCAGGGACAGCTAAAATAAAATGTAAAGACTACTTGCAAGGTCCAGTGATAAGCCATTAGAAAGGGTCAGTATAAATATCACATAGCAACGTGAAAAATGGCTTTTAATACGATGTCCAATTTAAAAAGCATGAAACAACCATATGCACAAGAACAATTAAAACAAGTGCACCGGGACAGACCTGTGCTTGGCGGTTAAATGGCTGGGTCCCACATGCCGACTACACAGTTCAAGTCCTACACTGAAAGCTTGAAAAACACACCAGGTGGTCCTTTTGACCAGAACCACCATTCCAGTAACTAACCAAAATGGCGAACCCAAAGGGAAAGA